AAGAGGCGGAAACGCGTAGAGAAGTTGGTGAGAGCCCCAATTGAGCAGAAGAATTCTTGCCGGTACCCACCCGTGAACAATACTGATGACACTTTTTGTTGTGATGAGTGGCAAAGAGGTCTATACTCGGGAACCCCCAGAGATGGAAGAGACCATGAACCACTTCATTGTGTAACTCCCACTCGTGCTGAATAAGGAAGTGTCTGCTCAGGGCGTCGGAGATGGTATTGTCCTTGCCCGGGAGGTACGATGCGGTGAGGGTTATACCGTGGTGGATTGCCCAGTTCCACAGCCATATGGCCTCTGCGCAAAGGGATCGTGAACGCGCCCTGTCTTGTCTGTTGATATAGTACACCGTGCATATATTGTCGGTGAGGAAATGTCTGCATGCGTTGAATACAGCCCACAGTTCGAGGAGGTTTATGTGTTGCAGGGACTCCTGTGTCATCCAGAGCCCTTGAACTTGATGTTCCTGCAGATGTGCCCCCCAGCCGATCAAAGAAGCATCCGTTGTGATCTGTACTGTGGGTCTCCGTGCGTGGAATGGTACGCCTGATAACAAGTTTTTGGTGTTGTCCCACCATGCTAGTGAAGTGTTGATGCGTCCGGGAATGGACACTGTCTTGCTCACAGCGTGTACCCCCGGCGTGTACACCTTGAACAGCCAATGCTGGAGACTGCGTAGGTGAAGTCTCGCATGTGGCACCATGTATGTAGTGGCAGCCATGTGCCCCAGCAATTTTAGACAAGTGAGTATGCTGGATCTGGGAGCAATTGAGACAGTCTGCACCAAATCCTGGATCAACTGGAGTCTTGCTATAGGTAAGTACACTCTTGCATTCAGTGCATCGAGTCTCGCGCCGATAAATTCCAAGTCCTGACTTGGTGTTAGGGACGATTTGCCGAAATTGATTATAAGGCCCAACGTCTCGAATACTGTTGTGATGGTGGTCACTGCCATGCCACCTCTTGGCGAGTAGGGGCCTTTAGTAGACAATCGTTGAGATACGGGAAGATTGTAATATTGAGGCGTCGGAGGTAGGCAGCTACCACCGCCAGGGTTTTGGAAAACACCCGTGGTGCTGCTGACAGACCGAAGGGTAAGACGCGGTATTGGTAATGTTCTGTGCCCACTACGAAACGAAGGAATCGCCTGTGGGCCGGGTGAATTGCTATGTGGAAGTAGGCGTCCTGTAAGTCGAGGGACGCAAACCAATCCACTTTGTGGAGAGCCGGGATGATAGAAGCTAACGTGACCATTTTGAATTTTTGTTTCCGCAGGTAGCGGTTGAGTTGACGCAGGTCCAGAATAGGCCTCTAACCCCCTGATTTCTTCTGGGTGAGGAAGTACCGGGAGTAGAAACCTCTCCTCCGGAACTGAACGGGTACCCTCTCCACAGCTCCTATAATAAGTAGTCGGGACACCTCTTGCTGTAGAAGAATCTCCTGAGAGGGGTCCCTAAAAAAGGACGGGGAGGGTGAGAGTGGGGGGGGGATGGAGTTGAAAGGGATGGCATATCCTGAAACAACTATGTCGTTGACCCATCGGTCGGTGGAAATCAGAGACCAGTGATGTTGATAAGGTCTCAGTCGATGATGGAATAAAGCTACTTGTGATGCTCCCGACAAAGGGGTTGTCCACAGTCCCTCGACTGACCCATCAAACTTGTTGCCGGCCCTGCTGTTGACCGAATGTCCTGCCAGGTTGCTGTCTTCGTTTCTGCTGGCGTTGCCTTGGTCTCTGTTGTTCATATGGCTTGGGGCGGAATGTTGCGTAAGAGAAGGGTCTCTGTTTATTATAGGGCGTATATCTTTTGCGTTTATATGGAGGCGTATACATCCCAAGCGTTCTAAGAGTCGTTCGGGAGTCCTTGCCCGAGTGGAACACCTGATCCGGGGACTGGGCGTAAAGAGACTGACGATCGAATGGTAAGTCTTCTACTTTGTTCAACAACTCTTTCGGGGCAGCTGCCTGGTGCAGCCAGGACACACGACGCATGACTACAGCAGTAGCCGTGGCTCTAGCTGCTGCATCTGCCGTGTCCAGGGCGATTTGTAGTGCTGTTCTGGCCGTTGTGTAGCCCTCCTGTATTACCGCCCTCAAGATCTGACGCTTGGAGTCTGGTAGGTGTTCTAGGAGGGGGACTAATTTAGAATAATTGTCAAAATCATGATTCGCGAGGGGAGCCGCATAATTACACATGCGGAGGACTGAAGTGGCCGAAAAATATACTTTCCTACCTAAAATGTCTAGGCGTTTAGCCTCGTCACTTACAGTGTTTTTATTCTGAGCCGTCTTCGATCTTTGTTGGGCGGCGTCCATAACAAGGGAATTGGGTTGGGGATGCGTAAACAAAAAGTTCATACCCTTTTGGTTTATAAAGTATTTCTTGTCCGCCCTATTGTTCGTCAGTAAGGAAGCGGCGGGAGTCTGCCATATATCATTTGCAATCTCCAAAACAGCCTCATCGAAGGGCAAAGCCAGTTTTGATTTTTGTGAGGACTGCAAGTTTTTCAGCAAAGGGTGTTGTTTTTTCTGTATATTTGTAGTTTGAATGTTCTGAGATTGCACAACCCTTTCAAAGAGCTCTTGAAACTGCTTGTGATCTTCCGTGGGGGATAATTCTCCAGGGAAGACAGCATCGTCCGGGGATGACGATGAATGATTGGCTGGAGACTCCGGTTCCCTATTCGGAGTATAGTTGTTTTCATGCCCGTCCTGATTAGTAACTGAGATAGTGTCTTCTGCAGATGCTGGTGGAATCGTTGGCGAAGGCGCGCGAAGCGTAGACGCTGGACAAGGGGGTTGTGGGGATTGTGATCTACGAGAATATCGATGGTGGTCATAGTAACGATCATAGTTGGGGAGTGTCTGGGAGAGTAGGCTCCGGACGCATCATACCGGTGTGAATATCTCGAATGTCTCGATAACCCCGGTGAGACCGAGCTGTCAGAAAAACGAGATGAAGAGCGAGAATAGTAGGAATAGCGTCGTTCATCATGGCAACGGTAGTGATGGTATGAGGATGATCGCTGAGGTGATGCATGGTAGTGGTCCTTGGTGGAGACATAACGAGGAGAACGATGGTTGTCTGAGCAAAATGAAGTTGGTGACCAGGGTCCTGGAGAGAACCGAGCTCGGTCAGGCGTGAGTGAAGGCGTCCGAACGCGCCTTGACCTGTATGGGACCTCAGTCAGCACCGAGTGATCAGCAGGAGAAGACGGTGCCATTTGAATTGATGTGGTCCCTGCCACCTGGCTGCTCTGCAAAGGAATCAGCGGTGCCGCGGGAGTTAAAGGCTGTGTCGGTGCCAGAGGCGGCAGCGGTGCAGAGGGCTGTACGGTGCCGATGATAGCCTGCGGTGCCTGAGTCTGGGCTGTTGCTTGTGGCGCCGCTGGAGTCAAGGTCTCAGCAGTTGGCACCATAGGCATGGGTGCCGGTAGAATCGTGAGTGGCTGCGCATGCGTGACATCAGCCGGCGCTTGGGCCGACATGGGGGGCCGCTGCTGGTGCCGATTCCGCCTGCGGTCCTTTAGCAGGAGCCCACATCAGGTCTTTAGCGCTTGCAAAAGCCGGGGCTGAGGCACTACGGCCCTTGCCCATCTTCTCTGCCGGGTGCCTCGGCAAAGAGCCAGAGGTACCCGGTCTGTCCGGCACGCTCCTGCGCTGCGGTAGTCTAGTAGGTTTGTGGAGCTCCTTCGCGGGCGAGCGAGGCAGGTGCGCTCCCGAGACAGCGGGAGACGGCGTGGTCGTATCAGACTGAAGGGCTTTGTTAAATAAAATCACCCCCAGCCGCATTTCCCTATCGTGCCGAGCGCGAGCTGTCAAGTTCATGCAGTGAGGGCACTTCAATGGGATGTGCCCATCCCCTAAGCATTTAACACATTGCGAGTGCCCGTCTGAATCGGGCATTGCCTCCTGGCATTGGGAACATTTCTTGAAGCCAGGCATTTTATCAGATAGTAATAAAAGTCTTTTTTTTTTTTTTTTAAAGGCTAACAACAGACTATAACTAGAACGGACCAAAAACCTGAGAATTAACTAGTAATAACTATTAACAACTAGTAACAACTACCCTAACTATAAACTGTCTGGTAACAGGTTTCTAAGGAAAAGTCTCCCTTTTCTCCTCAGGCGGAGAGGGAGCTCGTCCTAGATCCGTCTGCGGCCGCAGACGGTTGAAAGGAACTGACCAGCCGTAACGGTGTGAACGGCGCGAGGCAACAGGAGCGCATGCGCGGGCCGGCAGGGCTACTGCTATGGAAGTTTCTCCGTTTTGCGGCGCCGGGACGGACCCAGCACCTCGAGTGGAGCACCCACGGGGACACTACTCGATGAAGAATAATCAGTTTACTGACAAGAAAATGAACAATCACTGTTTTTGGCTTGAGGCAGAATCTTTTTACATCAGTGAAGCTGTGAATTTTCCCATCATGCTTCACTACCAAGAATCCAACAGGCAAAAACATTATCTTCCAAAAGAACCAATGTGCTAGATTAGTAATGTACTGATTCCACTAAATGGACAGCTGAACAAAGTCAATGACCTTAATTCTCTTCTCCTTTAGGTATAAAAATAATTATTCTGAATGGGTCCTCCTAAACATTTTTAAACTTAACAGGTTTTTATCCTGCTAGAGGAAACCTAAATGTTTAATACACAACACTTTTGATTCTCTTCAACAGCTCAAGATGAATCTCATGCACTCATCATTTCCACCTCTATACTTTCATGTAGTCATATCTTGCTAAGTCTGTGTACTGCTACAATTATATTATTTTTTAAAATAGAATTTGCTTTCATTTTCAGGGAAACATCAGAAAATAGGGGTGTCTGACAAATAAGGATCAAATCAGCTTAATTGCTTCATGCTGATGTCATAAGTCACCACTCTTCAGTATGAAATCTGCCACATGTAATCAAAGGCTGTTGGTACTGGTTCACCTGATCACGTGTCTACCATAAATAAAATATGTTATGAAATTCTGTGTAGCTTACAGCAATTCAGTAGAGAAGTCTTGTCCCAACGGCACATAAATTTGAAGTACCAGAAACCGCTGGATCAGTCCAACTAGAAACAGACACAAAGAAATAAATGGCTATGGATGCACATACAAAGAAAACTCCACCATTTAGCAGTTCAATGATGTATAACTATACTGCTGCAATACCATTTCCCAAGGTTCACACAACATATGAAAACAGAAAAGAACTGAAGAAAACCAAATCAAACAGTAATAAAAGTATTGCTTTTCGAAAGTCCCATTTGTGGTTTTGGTGCAATTCTTATGAAAATAAAAGGAATTTTTTTTTAATTTACAGCTCTTCATTGTGTTCAGAAAGCATGTAAACAGCATATCCCACAAAGACACATAAAACCACAGAATCACAGCAAGATTATTATAAAAGCATGTGGCAATTATTCACACTGTTATGACAGTTTTAACAGTATTAAACGACTTAATCAAAAACAATAAATCATGAATACAATCCTAATTATGATAACCGTGAGCAACTGAAGCCATACGTACACGATGGGGCATTCTATCCTAGGAAGCAATGACACTGAAAAGGATTTGGAGACTGGAGCAGATAGCGGAAAATGAGCTCACGGAGTGATGCTGCAGCCAAAAGAATAAAGAGGTCCTGGGACTCAAATAGGGGAATCTAGAGCAGGAGTAGAATCCTTATTTTCCCTCTGTATTTGGCACTGGTTTGACTGCTGCTGGAATACTAGATCCAGTTCTGGTGTCCATAATTCAAGAAGGATATTGATGAATTGGAGAGGGTTCAGAGGAGCCATGAGAATAACTGAAGGATTAAACAACATGCTTTTTTTGTGAGGCTCAAGGAGCTTAATTTATAGCCTTTAAGAGAAGATTATGAGGAGACTTGATTATAGTGTATCTACATGGGAAACAAATATTTAATAATGACTCTTTGATCTCACAGAGAAATGTATAACAATATCCAAAGGCTAGAAGTTGAAACTAGACAAATTCAGAGAGCAAGTAAGGTAAAAAAAATAGCAGTGAAAGTAATTAACCATTAGAATAATCTCCAAAGGGTTGCCAAGGATTCTCCATCACTAATGATTGGATATTTTTTCTAAAAGCTTTACTCTAATAATTCTGAGGCAGTTTTGAGGCCCCGTGCTATTCAGGAGGTCAAATTAGATCGGGGTGGGGAACTTCAGGCCTGAGGGTTGGATGTGGCCCCTGGCTTGCCTGGTCCTGGCCCCCGAGGCTCAGGGCTCCCCTCAACCCTGCTGTGGGGCTGGAGTATACAATATCTATTAGTCTGGCCCCCCAGGTTCTGATGTGGGAGAAGAATGTGGGGAACATCTTTCTCCTTCTCAGTCCCTGACCCAAAAAAAGATTCCCTACTCCTGAACTAGAGAACAATAATCCCTTCTGGCCTTATAGTCTATGTGGCTTTCATGAGGCAAATCTAAATCTGAAGTTTAAAATAGAAGAAATTAGGGCTGTCAAGTGATTAAAAACATACCATTTATTGAAATATTTTGGATGCTTTCTACATTTTCAAATATATTGAGTTCAATTACTATACAGAATACAAAGTGTACAGTGCTCACTTTATTTTTAGTTCAGATATTTGCCCTGTAAAAAACAAAAGTAATATTTTTCAATTCACCTAATACAAGTACTGTAATGCAACCTCTTTTTCATGAAAGATCAACTTACAAATGTAGAATTGTATACAAAAAATTGTATTCAAATTTTTTTTAAAATATGTAAAACTTCAGAGCCTATAAGTCCACTCAGTCCTACTTCTTGTTCAGCCACACAAACAAGTTTGGTTTCAATTGTGCAGGAGGTAATGCTGCCTGCTTTTTGTTTAGAATGTCACCTGAGTGTGAAAAAAGTGTCACCTGAGTGTGAAAAAAGGCATTTGCATGGCATTGCTGTAGCCAGTGTTGCAAGATATTTATGTGCCAGATGCATTAAAGATTCATGTGTTCCTTAAGGCAGAGGACATGTCCATACTAATCATGATTTCTGTGCGATTACAATCCAAAGAGGCGCAGACCAACACATATTCATTTTTACCATCTGACTCAGATGCCACCAGAAAGCTGATTTTCTTTTTTGTTGGTTTGAGTTCTGTAGTTTCTGCATCTCAGAGTTGCTTTTTAAGACTTCTGAAAGCATGGCACAGACCTTGCCTGCTCAGATTTTGGACAAAACTTCAAATTCTTAAACTTTCGGTCGAATGCCATAGCCATTTTTAGAAATCTCACATTAGTATCTTCTTTGTGTTGTCCGAGACTATTATAACATGAAATATATAGCAAAATGAAGGTAACATACTCCCCACAGGGAGTTCAATCATAATTTTAATGAATGCATCATTTTCTTTATAAGCATTGTTAGCATGGAAACATTTCATCTGTAATGGTGTCCGAACTATAAATAGCATACAAACTGGTATGTAAATACCTTGCAATGCCGGCTACAAAAGAGACATCCAACACCTTTTCTCACTTTCAGGTAACACTGTAAATCAGGCTTTGTCTACTTGGCACATTGCTAGAAGGCAAGCAGTGTAAACGCTGTATGTCTACAGTTTTGTCTACACTAGTTTTACATGGTTTTGTTTTTGAGTGCGGTATGTAACCAAAAAAAAAAAAATCTACATTTGTACATTGTGCTTTCGCAAAAAAGAGGCTGCACTAAAGCACTTGTATAAGGTGAACTGAAAAATACTGTGCCTTATTTTTACAGTGCAAATATTTATAATAAAAATATAAGGTGAGTACTATGTACTTTATACACTTTGCATTCTTTGTTGTTTTTGATATCAATATATTTAAAAATGTAGATCAACATATAAAATATTTAATAAATTTCAATTGGTATTCTATTTAATTTTTTAATTGCAAGTAATTTTTAAGTTAATCATGTGAGTTAACTGCTATTAACTGACAGCTGTACCGGAAATATAGCTTAATTGGGGAGCAAACAAGTACATTTTTACCAGATCCATTCCTATTCAGGAAAAGCCACACTTATAGGGTGTATAAGTATCCATGAGTTGATATTTATATAGCTACTTGTTGATTCCATTAGCAAAGAAGAGAGTTGACCTTTTATTGAATGGCAGATTTTTAGTCAAACTAATACTACTCAAAGAGCAACAAGAATCTTGGGATGTTTACAGAAGCCAAGATCATCCATGCAAAAGCTCAGTGCCTCTGAACAGTTGTCTGGGATACACCCTCTTTCACAACAACTCCAACACTCTGGTCATCTGAAGAAGTGGGCTGTGCCCACGAAAGCTCATGATCCCAGCTACACATTTTGTTAGTCTTTAAAGTGCTACCAGACTATTTACTGGGTTTTTAAAAAGATTTTCGTGTTTAGAGACTAACTCGCCTACCCCCTGGCTATGTCTAAACTACACCCCTGTAGCCAGACAGGAACCCCCCTTGTAACATCCATTTTTGCTTGCCTGGAGCATGCAGGGCACACAGAGCAGAAGGCCCAGGCTGTGTGACCGTGAATGGCTGTAAACAGAGATACGCCAATTGCTGACCAAGAGGCTGCCAAGGAGTGCCCTTGACTTAACCCATATTGATACGAACACACAGCCGTCCGCGGGGGGAGGAATCTCTCGCCCAGTAAAAAAAAAATGTCTAGTACTCACAATTTAGTTCTCTCTCTTGCAAGTGTAAATTAATTTGAAACTTGCTTGTAAGAACTGGCGCCACAAAACGGACCAGTACAATTTGGCCTCTTAGATAAGAAAGAGGATACGGGCCCCCAGGGGTATAAAGATGGGTCCAGCAACGCATTTTCTCTGAGTGTCAATTTACCATCTATCTGCTGGTCGGGTTAGATGTTTGATCTCCCGAGGTTCCAGAGGGGACACCCACCTCGTATTCGTCTTTCCTAGGAATTGAGAGACTGGCCCTGGCCTGACACGCTGGAGTCGAGAGGCACAGAAAGGGGTAAAAATCGTACCTGGATGTGGTCCTTTGCTTAAGTATATATATACATAGTGTTAGAGCTCTTTAAAGATTAAGCTGTCACTTGGTACTATTATTTCTATTTTCTATCTTTACCTTTTTCCTGTAATCATTTTTAAGACCTATATATATATATTTGCTAGCATTTAAGAAATAGAGCAATAGCCATTGTAACCATATGCTTTTATAAGTCTTTTAATAAACCTGTAACTGTTTAAGCTTTAACCTGACTCCTTCAGTTGCTGGAACAGAACCAAGCACAATTTAAAAGAACTTCAGCCGGTCATAAAGGGACAGGCATAGGAAGAGCTTGGGCGTTTGGATCTGTGTCACTCCCAGGTGACAGATCCGTTGGGGCACTTTTCAGCCTTCCCCAGGCTGCCTGCTGCGAAGGAACTTTGTGTTCTAGCAGCTAAAAATCTAAGGTGTAATAAGCTCTTCCTATATAACGGGGCGTCTGTTGGCCTGCTGGCCACCCTCTGCGACGGGACCCCGGTCCTAGCAGTAAAGACACGGACGTTAAACCTTTTCTCGGAAACATACACACACACACACTGCCCTGACCGTTGGCTGACAACCCCTCTGTCAGCAGAGGAATGTAAATTAGACGTATCGAAAGTGCAAACATAGCGGGGATTTAAATATCCTGCACTTCATTTGCATAATGGCGGCTGCCGCCTTTTTTCAAAACGGGGCTTTTCGAAAAAAACGGCAGTTTAGACAGGGCATTTTCGACAGAAATACGCCGTTTCAAAAGATCTTGTACTCCTGTACATTTGTTGAGGAGTACAGGATCTTTCAAAATGGGGCATTTCTGTCGAAAATGACCTGTCTAAACTGCCGGGTTTTTTTGGAGAGCCCTGTTTCGAAAAAAGCGGCAGCCGCCATTATGCAAATGAAGCACAGGATATTTAAATCCCCGCTTCGTTTCCACTTTCAATAAGACTAATTTACATCCCTCTGCCGACAGAGGGGTGTAGTTTAGACGTAGCCCCTGAGTCTCCAAAAACAAAAGGAAAATAAAACCCCATCCCCCACACCTTTGGAAGGGGGATCCAATGTGGAGGTTAAGTTAACAGTTCTAGCATTCGCTGTTTAGTTTAGCAGATTTCCAAACAGGTAAAGTATATGTGATTTAGGGCCAGATTCTCAGGTAGTATAAATAAGTTTAATGAGGCATTACTGATTTAAAGAAGCTGAGAAGCTAGCTATTGAAATGTTAAGATAAACAACATTTGACTGTAATACTGCTTGCTGAGATCCTTGAACCCATCGGGGAAGAGGGAAATCATGTGAAAAATATTAAAGTTGGAAATTTTACAGAACTCAAGTTTTATTCTATTGTACATTGGCCAAACGGGAGTGTCTCTGCAATTGAATAAATGGACACAAATCAGACATCAAGAATGGTAACATTCAAAAATCAGTAGGAGAGCACTTCAACCTCCTGCGACACTCTGAGGGTATGTCTACACTGCCACCCTAGCTCGAACTAGGGTGGCTAATGTAGGCATTCGAACTTGCAAACATTTGCATGTTCCTGGCCGGGCGCCATTTTTAAATGCCTGTAGTTCAAACTACCTGCCTGCGGCTACACACAGCATGGACTAGGTAGTTCAAATTAAAGCTCCTAATTCGAACTACCATTAAACCTCTTTGCAGGAGTGAGAAGTGAGACATCAGTACTAATTAAATCAGAGGGGATGTGGCTCTTCTCCAATAGTGATGAGAAGGTGAGAGTACCTGAAGAGGAAATTACCTATTGTAATGTAAAAACCACTCCATGTTTCTGTTTAAACTTTTTTTCAAGGTGTCTATTTGCATATGAAATCCAGCTCAGTAGATTCTCCTTGCAGTCTGTTTTTGAAGTTTTTCTGCCTCCTGAAAATGGCGGTACTCTCATCTTCTCTTCACTGTTGGAGATGAGCCACATCTACTATGATTGAATTAGAACTGATGTCACAATCCCATCTCAGTATCTCTTTGGGTTAATTACCCCTTTTCTCTTCAGCATCTGAGCAAGTGAGTTGTATCTCACAAAAGCTTATGTCCTAATGCCTGAATAAATGTGTTAGTTTTTAAAGTGCCACTAGAATCCTTTTTTGGAGTAAACGATCTAAACAAGTGATAAAAATGTAGCCATGTTAGTCTGGTGTAGCTGAAACAAAATACAGGACTATGTAGCACTTGTTAGTCTTTAAAGTGCTACATAGTCCTGTATTTTGTTCGATCTAAACAACTGTTTGTAAAAAGTAATCAGAAATTATCTTAGACTATGTAGCACATTTTATAAAGCACAAAAAAAGTCTTTCAAATAATTAAACCTCACATCTCTATAAAGCAGATTAATATTTTATAGAATAAAAAGAAAGAGGGATTAATGGCCCCATTCATTGACTGCCGACAGACAGACTTCTATTGACAATCACGTCTACCAGTTCAGAACTTAAGTTTTTTGCTCAAGGTTAAACTGTGAGAGTCAGGACTGAAACAACTAAACTGAAGTCAATTGAGCAATGAGAATGTATATCAGCAGAGGACCTGCCCCAAAGTATTAAACAGCATATCCCATTTCTGAACTTCTACTTATTAGTAACAGCTGTGTTGCTGAAAAGTGACCCTTCAATTCCAACAGAGAAGCTGCCCAAAGTAAGAGACAATGCAAATAGCTACTTCTTGGAGTAGTACTGGATTAATAAATCAGAACATCTTAGATTTGTAATGCCCCAAAACTTACGAGTTTGTCTAGTTTCCTTTGGTAGTTGAATCTTGTTTGTTTGACTGCTTCCTTCAAGGACAAAAACAAAGCCTTTTACTTCTTTATCAAACTCCTACAAAAAAAAAAAGTAAACAAAAATAAATCTTATTATTCTCTAAACTAAGACCTGATCAAATTTTCCAGATGATACAAAGCTGGAAGTGAGTTGACAAAACTTTGGAGGATAGAGGTAAAATTCAAAGAACCTTGAGAAACTGCAGAACTGTCCTAGACAACAAAATGAAATTCAACAGAGACAACTGTAAGGTGCTACACTTAGGGAAGAAAAAACAAATACAAAAATACATAATGGAGGATAACTGGCCCACTGATGAGAGGGATCTGGAAGTTGTGGTAGATCGCATCAAATGAGGGATGTGAACTAGGTGCATTAAATTTTGATTAATCAGTTAATTGAGCAGTCGATGGAATTTCTATCGACTACTTGATTAGTCGATAAGGGAGGCACTCACTATCCTGCTGCACCTCTCACTTTGAAATGTACAAGACCCACCCGCAGGCATGGCCTCCCCTCCATGCCTCTTCCTTTGAAAGAGCAGGCAACTCTTGTACACTTCAAAGGGAGAGGAGCAGCAGTTGGGACGACGGTGAGCGAGAATGTTTCAATGCTTGCTCGGGCCGTTCCCCTGCTGCCCTCTGCCTCCCCTAACCCCCCACCTGTTCTGCCCCACCCCCATGGAGACAGTGCTGGGAGGGACTGGCTTTTAAGCCAACATCCCCCAGAACTGGCTCCTGCTCCCCCCTTGATTCCTCTCTCTGATAGAGGCAGCAAGGTGGGGAGAGTGACTAGTTGAGTTCCTACTCGCTTATCCGATAACCAAACTGGGTGGAGTTGCAACTTCTTTGGAGGATAGGGACATAATTCAAAATGACCTTAGCAAGTTAGAGAAATGGTCAGAGGTAAACAGGATGAAGTTTAATAAAGAGAAATGCAAAGTGCTCCACTTAGGAAGGAACAATCAGTTCCATACATACAAGATGGGAAGCGACTGTCTAGGAAGGAGCATGGCGGAAAGGGATCTAGGGGTCATAGTGGACCACAAGTTGAATATGTGTCAACAGTGTGATGCTGTTGCAAAAAAAGCAAATATGATTCTAGGTTGTATCAACAGGTGTGTTGTAAGCAAAACTCGTGAAGTCATTCTGCCGCTCTACTCTGAGCTAGTTAGGCCTCAGCTGGAGTACTGTGTCCAGTCCTGGGCGCCACATTTCAAGAAAGATGTGGAGAAATTGGAAAGGGGACAGAGAAGAGCGACAAGAATGATTAAAGGTCTAGAGAACATGACCCATGAAGCCAGGCTTCATGAACTGGGCTTGTTTAGTTTGGAAAAAAGAAGATTAAGGGGGGACATGATAGCGGTTTTCAAATATCTAAAAGGGTGTCACAAGGAGGAAGGAGAAAATTTGTTCCTCTTGGTTTCTGAGGACAGGACAAGGAGCAATGGGCTTAAAGTGCAGCAAGGGAGGATTAGATTGGACATTAGGAAAAAATTCCTAACTGTCAGGGTGGTCAAATATTGGAATAAATTGCCAAGGGAGGTGGTGGAATCTCCCTCTCTGGAGATATTTAAGAACAGGTTAGATCGACATCTGTCAGGGATGGTGTAGACGGAGCTTGGTCCTGCTTTGAGGGCGGGGGGCTGGACTCGATGACCTCTCGAGGTCCCTTCCAGTCCTATGATTCTATGATTCGCTCACCAGTCTAGTCACTTACATCCCTGATGTGAACGTGTACCTCTTTACATGATTAACTGATGAGCATGGGCTCAATAGGTAAATCCTAATGGTTACACACAGTCCTCTCCCCCTTGCCGCTTCTGATACAGAGGGTGAGAGAAGGCAGGCAGGAACCAATATGCGTGGGGAGTCAGCTTAAAAGCCCTCCCCTCTGCGCAGCTGCCTCGCATAGAGGCAGAAGCATGGGGGAGGGTGGAGGTGAACACTGGCTCCCGCCTGGCCCCACCACATATCACCACTGTAAATTTCAGTGGTTACATGTTTAGAAAAGTAAACACATTTTAACATCCCTAGTCAACACGAGTCAAAAATGCCTTGGCATTGAGAAGAAGAAAAAAAAGCAACTGCAATTTTAGGTTGCATTACCAGACGCATAGCATAGAGGTTCATAGAACTGGTCTATTCAGCATTGTATAGGCCTCAGTGGGAGCACTGTGCCCAGTCTTGGTCTCCAATATATAGAAAGGATGTACAAAACTGGGAAGAATCTAGAGATGAGTGATAAAGGTGATCAAAGGAATGGAATGCAAGAGAAATGAGCAAAGGCAGAAGGAACTGGGTATTTTTAGTTGGTAAAAAGAGATTAATGGGGAACATAACAGTCTTCAAATACATGAAAGGCTGCCATAAAAAAAGGAGAAAAGTTGTTCTCTCTGGCCAGAGAGGGCAGGACAAAAGGCAATGGGTTCAAACTACTGCATAACAGATTTAGATTAAATCTGAGGAAAAAAGTCCTGATTGTAAGAACAGTAGGACAATGGAACAGATTGCTTAGGGAGATCATCGACTTCCTTTCACTGGAGGCTTTCAAAAAGAGGCCAGATAGCATCAGTCTTGGATGATTCAGAAATCTTGCATCATGCAGGAGATTAGATTAGATCACCTTTGCTGAACCACCTAACTCTGGTTCTAAATCACCAAACCCCCAAACTTATAGCTAAAGTGTAAGTCTACTTTGTTCTTAAGACTGTCAATAAGTATGTAGCAACAATTCTATAAATAATGCAGAGATGGCAGTAATATTGTTCTCAGTAAAAGTCTGCCTTTTTGTTATATATATTTATTTATAAATAAAAAATGTTGAAAGATGCATGATTCATGATCCACTGGCCCAGACTTGACCCAGTGGTTATCAGAATAGGAAAACTATTTTAAGCTTTGTTCCACTAGAAGTATTTAAGCTATAAAACTACAGCTGTGACCAATCCAGTTTGCAAGCAGGCATAAAGAGCTAATTTAAGTGGCCATTTATTCTGTCATGGTGACAGAACTGCAAGTGACAACTTTTCCATAGTCAGGTCAAAGCCCTCATTACCTTCTAATTTTAAGCTTCATGTACTTTTTTACACGGTTTATACTTCAGGTCTTATAAGTCCCCCATAAAACTTACTTTCCAAATTGCTGATGGACTGCCAAAGATCTTCCATTTTGCTCCTGGATTCTTGCCTTGAGCACTGAATATTTCAACAAATGGGCCACCCTGTGATAAAATTGTTTAAGGATACATCACTCTAGTCAGGCGTTGAACACAGCACCATCATTGGGCAGAGCTAGCTAGAGCTGAGTATGTCAGAGCAAACCCTCATGAAACAATGGTGGTTAACCTTGGTTAAAATAAATATTAAAGGTTAATGTAAATATTATTGAGCAGTCAGCCACCATCATTTCTTTTACACAATCAACAAGTGGCACGCTTGACTTTACAGTCTGATTTTACTGAAGAATCAGAGTCCATGCTTACTTACAACATTACTTCCTTTGCTAAAAGAAATAGGGTATATTTTTACCACTGTCCTTTCTTTACAAGCTAGCAAAAAAACCCAAACAGCCCACCAAACTCAAACATGGCATGTAAAATCTCTCTCTATATATTTTAGAGAGCGTGTGTGTCTGTTTGTTCAAGAACTCCTCAAACAGCAGGAGCTAGGAAGAACCACCACACTCAGTATGCAGCTTCCTCTTATCCTAACTGAAAGCAAGGTCAGCGTTTGGTTGAGACAGGAAAATGGGAAGTGCCTGGAATGGGATTGTTTTCCATAACATGAAATGAGAGGGGGCGATCAGAGGGAGAGCTATATTCAGAGTGACCACTAGCGGTATCAAGTATCAGAGGGGTAGCCGTGTTAGTCTATAAGGTGCCACAGGACTCCTCGCCGCACTAGCGGTAGTTGCACCAGCAGGAGAGCAGTGAGCCAGGGATGGGGCTTTCCATATGGCCGGGCACTGGACCAAGTAAGTGTCACCCTGCCTCAAATACTGCTGAATGGGGAAAAGGGGAGGTCCCCCTGCCCACTGGCCCGGCACCCAGGAACACACTGTGGAGCAGGCAGCACAGTCCGACCCTCCATGAAATCTCATAGAATCATAGGACTGGAAGGGACCTCGAGAGGTCATCGAGTCCAGCCCCCCGCCCTCAAGGCAGGACCAAGCTCTGTCTACACCATCCCTGACAGATGTCTATCCAACCTGTTCTTAAATATCTCCAGAGAGGGAGATTCCACCACCTCCCTTGGCAATTTATTCTAATATTTGACCATCCTGACAGTTAGGATTTTTTTCCTAATGTCCAATCTAAACCTCCCCTGCTGCACTTTAAGCCTTGTCCTGTCCTCAGAAACCAAGAGGAACAAATTTTCTCCTTCCTCCTTGTGACACCCTTTTAGATATTTGAAAACCGCTATCATGTCCCCCCTTCATCTTCTTTTTTCCAAACTAAACAAGCCCAGTTCATGAAGCCTGGCTTCATAGGTCATGTTCTCTAGACCTTTAATCATTCTTGTCGCTCTTCTCTGTACCCTTTCCCATTTCTCCACAAAATCTCCCGCAAAAAGAGGCTGAGAACTGCAACTCACCCACAAAGAAAGGCTGGCCCCTGGACAGGTGGCAGGGAAGGGGTGGGCTTCTGGAGGCTAGGGTTGGCTCCCAGAGCACTGCCCCCCCAGACAGGATGGAGGTCTGAGCCAGCCCCCATAACCCAGGCCTCCCAGAAGGTAGCATTGCCACAGCATCACTAACTTCACTGCCATATGCGACCCCAAAAAGTCTCCCCCTCAGCCCTGAATCCCGCACCTCTCACTCCCTGCCCTAACACTGGCATCCCCCACCCCCTGCCTTCAGCCCTCTCTCAAGCCCAAACATCTGCCCTGACTTCCGCAGCCCTTTTCCTGAATCCCATAAGTGGACCCTGTGCCCTGAACCCTCCAACCCTTCCAGCTTCTCTGCCTCATTCCTTCACCCAACCCCAGCCTTTATCCCCCTACCTGCTGCCCTAACCCGAAACTCAGCCTAAAAGAATGTTCTGAATAAGGTGCAACTAAATGATTAAATAAATTACTATCTATTAATTTCTAGCAAAGGGATGCAGTCAATGCAGTGGATTTTTTATTTTTCAATATTTCATCCATTATGAATAACAAAACTTGACTGATGGCTTCTGAGACACCACCTTTGCACTTTAATGAGTTTAATAATTAAGGGCCCAGTTCAGAGATTTATAGATTCTAAGGCCACAAAAGAACACTATAATCATCTACTTTGACCTCCTGCATAATAAATGATAGACCTACCCCCTCAAAATTCCTAACACATATATTTTAGCAGAACATCCAATCTTTATTTAAAAACTGTCAGTGATGGAGAAATGACCGTGACCCGTGGGAAATTGTTTCAATGGTTAATGTCCCTCATTCTTAAAAATTTACACCAGTCTGAATGTGTTTAACTTGAGCTTCCAGCCACTGGATAGTTTTAGACCTTTCTCTGTTCAATTGAAGAGCCCATTATCAATCATTGTTTCTCATATAAATACCTATAGACTGTGATCAAGTCACCCCTTAACTATCTCTTTGTTAAACTAAATAAATTGAGCTTCTTAAATCTATCACTATAAGACAGTTTTCTATTCTTTCCATCGTTTCGCGGCTCTTCTCTGAACCCATGCCCATTTGTTAACATCCTTGAATTGTGGATACCAGAACAGGACACAGTATTCAAGCAGCGATAGCACTAGTGCAAAATAGAGAGATAAAACAGCCCCCTACTCAAGCTTTCCATGTTTATGCATTCCTGGATTGTATTAACTCCTTTGGCAACAGTGTCACATTGGTAATTCATGTCATGTAATTATGTAACCCACACATCTTTGCGGTGTGGTGTGCTGTTCCATCTAGTGGCACGGAGACCACTTACAGAGAGAATAATTAGTCGGCTCTACAGCCTTAACTAGCAGCCAGATGGCTTTTAGCTCATGAAGTAGAGGCTCTTGTAGTTCCAGAGATCCCAGGTTCAGTTCCACCTGCAGGTAACCTCACTGTCAGGATCGAGCCTTCAGTTCCTATCACATGGAGGGAAACAATGCAGATCGGAGCCCATTCAGGGGATCAGGAACAAGGGTGGGACATGGTGTTACAATTATGCACCATGACCACTATCCCCAATCTTTTTCAGTCACTGGTTCCCATGACAGAGCTCCCCATTCTGTATGTATGGTAGGGATGCTAGCGTACAGTCATATACATGATTAACCAATAAGCCTGGGCTTATCAGTTAATTCAAACGACTACTCACAACCCCCTTCCCCTTGCTATCTCCGTATCAGAGGCAGCAAGGGGTGGTGGGAAGCAGGAGCCGGCTTTTAAGCTGGCTCCCTGCATGTGCTGGCTCCCTTGAAGCCACCTGTTCCCCCCTCATGCTACTGCTTCTAATAAAGAGGCAGCAGAGCGGGAGGGGAGGGGAGCAGGAAGCTGGCTGTACATGCCAGCTCGTGTGGAGTGACCTGCCTGCACCCTTGCGTTGCCATCTCTATATCAGCGGTAGCAGAGCTGGGGAGTGGCAGTTGGAACTGGGGAGTGGCAGGAGGGAGCCAATACATGTGGAGCTGCCTGCTGCCTCCCAGACAGGCAGCACCACAGTGGGGCAAGGGAAGGGGAAGCAGGAGCTCTGACTCCCACAGAGCAAACTGCCCACCATGCTGCTGAATCAGGAATCTAGCTTTCAAGCCAGCTGCCTGCGTGTATCGGCTCTGCAGAGCTGCCTCCCCCTTCCCTGCCCCGCTGGCGCAGCTGCCTCTCTATCAAAAATAGCAGTGGGGATAGGGGTAGGGGCAGACAGGAGCCAGTGTTTGTGGGGGGTCAGCTGAAAGGTGTTTGCTAGTCTCTTCATTATTTACCTTTCCCCCAATTTGTGTGTCCCCTGCAAAAATCATCAGCTTTTAATCGACTTGCCCCACTGACTAGTTACTACAATGAGTGAAGATACAAATGGCTTTAAGTGAAAACACCAGTAAAATTCTTTGAGTTCATAATGCAGGAAACAAACAGAACCCACTCTATTGGTTACCTGAAGTTAACAGATCTACTCACATATGCAAGGACCGAAGGATCAAGGTCTCAGACATTGTCCAAAATTTCTGGAAAAAAACCCTTAGATGTGTTTGTATCCAGCGGCAGATTTAGAGCAGGGCGAGCGGGGCGGCTGCCCAGGGCCCTGCGCTTCAATAAGCCCCACGCCAGCAGTGGACTGGCCCAGCGGGCCATCCGCCAAAGGGCCGGCTGGCGGCTGCTGGAGGAGGAGGAGGATTGTGACAGGGCGCCGCAGCCCCGTACTTTAAATTCCCTGGCGCCGGCCAGTACGGGCCATGTGGGGCCGAGGAAGCGCATGTGCGGCGTGCTGAAATGCTGCACAACAGTCAAGAGGGGAGACGCCCAGGCGTGGCGTCACGGCCCAGGACTTTAAAACCACGTGGCCCAGTGTTGCGCCGCTCAGTTTGGTATGTGGTCTGGAGCCTGGGCCAGGGTCACGGCTGCCCTGCAAACTGGAAGGCAGGTGGATGGCAGAGGAAGGGGCTTGTGCTAAGGGGAGGAGGGCAGGTCAGGAGAAGAAAGGGGAAGGCACCAAAGGACAGCGTGGAGGAGAGAGAAATGCCAGGGGGACCAAGTGCAGACAATGAGGAAAAGGGCAGGAGGGGAGGTGTCAGTGGGAGGGGGGACAGGGCGATGCTGAGAGGGGAGAGGGTAAGGGCACTGGGCGCTAAAGGTGGGAGGGGGAGGTGCTGGGAGAAGGCTTGAAAGAAGGGGTGGGCATGAGGAAGGTGGGGATGGAGCAAGGCATGTGCGAGGGCACAGGGACATGAGAAGAACGGGGGCAGAGAGTGGTGAGGGGGTGGGCATCAGGGAAAAAGAGGGGAGATGAAGGGCAGGTGTGTAGAGGAAGGTGTTAGGAGAGGGGATGAGGAGGGATAGCTCACATGATCAGAGTGGGGCTACGGGAGGAGTGGGCACAGGGGGGGACCTTTTTTCTATTTTTTCTTCTAAGGGGGGGGCACAAAATTGTGCTCAGATATTGTTTGTACATTTATTATTATTACTTCTAGAAGACTTACCTGGTCTTGCCCAGGTCCTTCAGGGCAGGAGCTGGTGGGGTGGGACGAGGGGGAATCAGGGCGGGTCCATGGAGATATGGGAGGAAGGGCAGGAGGATGAGGGGTGCAAGAGAATGGGTTGGGGGTTGAGGAGGAGCGGTAGGGCCTTCTCTCCCCTCCCCTGACCGGCCAGCAGTGGCCTTCTCTCCCCTGCACCCTAACCCCCATCCCCAGCAAAACTTCTCTTCCCCCTGCCTCTCCATGGGCCTTCTCCCCGTTCCCCTAGCTGCCAGGGGTCTTCTCTTCTTCCCCTCCCCCTGAAAGAGGCATAGCGAGAGGGATGGGGGGGCAATTGCCCCTGGGTACCACGCTAGGGGGGCACCGGGCTGGAGCGCACTGCCACACTCATTGCAGTGAGCCCAGTGCTGGTGGGCCACATGCTCCCTGTACAATTACACCTCCGAGGCAGGCCTGTACCTCCAGTGCCTGGCTCTGTGAGGAGGTGGGTGCCTTGGTTAGGGCGGTGGGCTGGGGGTGCCTGGCTCTGGGGGAGCGGTGGGGCATTGGGGGTACACACACACACATATATATGTATTTAAAGGGATACATTATAAAAAAAAGGTTGAGAAACACTGCTCTAAACCCCTCCTTTTGGCCTCCCTGTTTCCTTTCTCCTTTGGCGAGTTGTGCAGGTAGCAGTTTTGGTAAAAATATATCAGACATGCGCACACAGTGCCGCTCTAACTCAGTTGGTGCTGGATAAGCAGGGCCTCAATTCTAAAGGAGTTGGCATCACTGAGGTGTTCGATACCCCCATGTTTCGTGGTGGATTTTCCAAAGAAAATGCTGGTGTTTTCTGCAGGTCACCCACATTTCCCAGTCATAGCAGAGACTTGGGATTAACATGGCTCTCTCAACTAAAAGTCTTATTTATGTTCAGATGTTGTGATTGTGATCACCTGGCGAGACAGTCTGCCAAAGGCAAGGCTGGCCTTGATTCATTACATCTATGGCTTCAGTTGAATGGATTGTGTGAAATTTCGAAAAGCAGCTCAGAGAGACCTCTCTCCTTTACTTAAGGAAAGAATCTCATGACAGCCTGAAGGAAAAAGTCTTCGTGGCAGACAGAAATCCAGGCTTGCAGTATAACCTCAGCCTTAGGCTACTTATTGCTTCAAATGCCTTCAAGAATCATAGAGCTGGAAGAGAACTCAGGAAGTCATCAAGTCCAAACCCCTGCCCAAAGCAGGACCAATCCCAACTAAATCAGCCCAGCCAGGGCTTTATCAAGATGAGACTTAAAAACCGCTAGGGATGGAAATTCTACCACCTCCCTAGGGAATCTAACCCAGCGCTTCCCCACCCTCCTAGTGGGACAGTTTTTCCTAATATTCAACCTAGACCTTCCTGAATGTAATTTGACACCATTGCTCCTTGTTCTGCCATCCGTCACTACTGAGAACAGCCTCCCTCCATCCTCTTTGGAACCTCCCTTCAGGAAGTTGAAGGCTGCTAACAAATCCCCCCTCACTCTTCTCTTCTGCAGACTAAACGGACCCAAGTCCCTCAGCCTCTCCTCATAGGTCATGTGCTCCAACCCCCCTAATCATTTTGGTCGCCCTCTGCTGGACCCTCTCCAATGAGTCCACATCCTTTCTATAGGGGGCCCAGAATGGAACACAATATTCTAGACATGGCCTCACCAGAGCTGAATAAAGGGGAATAATCACTTCTCTGGATCTGCTGGCAACGCTCCTCCTAATGCAGCCCAATATGCCATTAGCCTTCTTGGATACAAGGGAACACTGTTGACACATATCCAGCTTCTTATTCACTGTAATTCCTAGGTCCTTTTCTGCAGAACTGCTACTTTGCCATTCGGACCTCAGCCTGTAACAATGATTGGGATTCTTCCATCCCAAGTGCAGGACTCTGCACTTGTCCTTGTTGAACCTCATCAGATTTCTTGTGGCCTAATCCTCCAATTTGTCTATGTCACTCTGGACCCTATCCCTGCCCTCCAGCGTATCTACCTCTCCCCCTAGCTTAGTGTCATCCACAAACTTCCTGAGGGTGCAATCCATCCCCTCATCCAGGTCATTAATAAAGATGTTGAACAAAACCGGCCCTAGAACTGATCCTTGGGGCACTCCACTACAAACCAACCACCAACCTAACATTGAGCCGTTGATCACTACCCGTTGGGCCTGACAGCTTTCTATCCACCTTACAGTCCATTTATCCAATCCATATTCCCTTAACATGCTGGCAAGAATATTGTGGGAGACCGTATCAAAAGCTTTGCTAAAGTCAAGATAGATCACATCCACTGACTTTCCCATCTCCACAGAGCCAGTTACCTCATCATACCAGCTAATCAGATTGGTCAGGCACGACTTGCCCTTCGTGAATCTATGTTGACTTTTCCTGATCACTTTCCCCTCTTCCAAGTGCTTCAAAATGGATTCCTTGAGGATCCCCCTCCATGATTTTTCCGGGGACTGAGATAAGGCTGACCGGTCTCTAGTTTCCTGGATTGGCCTTTTTCCCTTTTTTTAAGATGGGCACTACATTTGCACAGAGGCAAAGAAAGCATTGAATACTTCAGCTTTTTCCACATCATCTGTCACTGGTTACCTCCCTCATCCAGTAAGGGCTCCACACCCTCTCTGATCATCCTCTTATTCCTAACATGCCAGTAGTAACCTTTCTTGTTATCCTTCACATCTCTTGCTAGATGTAATTCCATTTGAGCTATCACCTTCATGATAACTCGCCTGCATTCTCGAGCAATATATTTATACTCCTCCCTAGTCATCGGTTCAAGTTTCCACTTCTTGTAAGCTTCCTTTTTGTGTTTAAGCTCGCCAAGGATGTCCCCGGTAAGCCAATCTGGTCACCTTACATATTTGCTTTTCTTGTTGTGCGTCGGGATGGTTTCTACCTGTGCCTTTAATAAGCCTGCTTTAAAATACTGCCAGCTCTCCTGGACTCCTTTCCCCTTCATGTTAGCATCCCAGGGGATCCGGCCCATCAGTTCTCTGAGGGAGTCAAAGTGAGAGCGATTCTCGTGTTGTGTGTTAATTTTATTTAGAAGTTTTTCTGAGTGTAGTTATAACAGGTAAATTAATCTCACATTCAAAACTATGATGCAGTTTATCACTGTGCAATAGTATGAAAAACAACTAGATTAAGTAGGTAAGTAACTAGGCAGTTAGGAAGCATTACAGATTGCTCACAATAAATTTGATACACTCAAAATCTTTTTAGCTTTTATTCATTAAAGCAACGAGTTACTCATTTGCTATTACAGTGATTTTAAATGCTTGATTGAAATAGAGTCATGAAATTCATATTTAGGTTGTATAACATTTATTTCTCTTGTGTTTTATAAAACTTAGATATTTTAAGCATTTGACTTTTATGTAAAAAGACACGAACCCAATGAGAATGGGATATGAACAAATTAAAAAGAAAAAATTATTTAACAGAATATAAACGACAAAAACTATAATTTATATTACGATCTACTAACTGATCCCAGTATCAGTGGATATTAGTAGTATTTGCTCTTTTTTAAATTTACATTCTTATTTTTTGCTGACTTAGAAATAAATAAGAGATACATAGTAACAAATGATGGGGGAGATGCAAATTTTGCCTTTATCCCCGGGCACACAACTCTCTTGCTACGCCTCTGCAAACCAATGATGCAGCCAAGGGACAGGAGTTTGGGGAAGGGGAGATACTTACCCTGTCTGGTGGCAGGCAGGATTGCGGAGCCCTAGCCCTGCTAGCTATTGTACTGGTGGTGTGACTGGCCTCAGTTGCCCTTCTATAGTATAGCTATCCTCTGTGGACTTGCTGACCCCAGTGGCCATTCTAAGTGTCACATCCCTCATCTCTGTGCCCCTTCCTTTCCCTGTTATAGAAAACAGTCCAATTCCCGGCATTTCCCATTTTCTTGGCACAACCAAACCCTGACCTTGCTTTAAGTTGGGATAAGAGGAAGCTGCATACCAAATTTGGTGGGTTTAGCTCTTTAAGATAGTTAAGGTCCATTTAGGAGGAGTTCTTGAACAAATAGACTTAAAAAAAATTAATGGAGAACTGGAAGGGACCTTGAAAGGTCATCGAGTCCAGTCCCCTGCCTTCACAGCAGGACCAAGTACCATACTCCCCGACAAATTTTTGCCCCAAATCCCTAAATGGCCCCCGCAAGGATTGAACTCACAACCCTGGGTTTAGCAGGCCAATGCTCAAACCCTCCACCCTGACTTGCAGACAAACTAATCCCTAAGATAGATAGATATTTGCAAACAAGGTTTTAACATCAAGGGTGTTTACATTCCAGCTTTGGAAGACATAAATGAATAGAAATAAAAAAACAATTTCTGCTTTACCTGATACTCGTTTTTAAACATTCTTCCACAGTTTGAAAATAATGGCAACACTCAAATGAGTGATTCAAGACATACAGATGTTCCTGTAAATGCAGAGATTTTATTGTTAAACATGATTCCATCAAAAAAAGTTTTCCTGTAATCACATAGAAATCCATGCTTTAAAAGTCAGTTAGCACATTTCTAAAATACTGTTCATTACAACAAATGTGTAACTCTTCAACATCAAAAAGCTACCATAAAGGAATTATGATTAGAAAACTGATTAATACTGTTGGTTTCTCTTGATTATAGTTTCTTTATAACACCACCATTCAGCCTGACCTTCCAGATATATACATCAAGTGGCCATTCTATTCCTAGCCTTTATTTTTAAGAAAGGAGGATCCATTTATCCAGCTGCTTCCCCATGCTGGGTCTCTGCTGCCACTGGGTTTGTATTATACTGCAAATCACACTATGTTACAACCAAGTTATTTGTCAGTAAAAGAAACTGAAACAGATAATGTAACTGGTATAATTAGATAAGAAAGGCATATTATCTAATAACTATATTAAGTTACTTAATTGACAACTATGAATTAGTCATTTTACAAATTTAAAAGTAGTATACTGTTTCTTTGTTCTACAAATAAAGCAGTCTGGCAGGCAGTACATTGATTTCTGGAAAATGTTATTGCTCTTAAGTTTTATTTTCCTCTATTTAGATCTCATCTCTGCTATTATTCAGGGCTTTTCAATCAAAGTGTTCAACATTCCACAAATCATTCCTTAGCCATGAACACGCTACTTTGAAGCAAATCTTACAATGACAGACGTGCTGATGCAAAATTCACAGGGAAAGCAGGTGGTAAGAGGGAGACAGCACAGGTCATGTCCTCTGACAGTTTTTATATGTACTTTTATTGTGACCCAGATGAGCAGGTATCCTTTCAGTCTGGGGCTAAGGATTTCATCACCCAAGGGTTATAAGTTGTTGCTGCTGCTGCTGTGTTTTGTTTGTTTGTTCCAGAGTGAAGCCCTTTACACAGGCTTGCAACTTCAAAAGATCAGGCCCAGACCTGCCAAATGTCATTTGGCACTTCTGTCATGCCTTCCAGCATTTCAGGGAAAATGTCAGATAGATATGTAAGGCAGGGAGTCCCCAATAAAACATCTTGTTGTAGTTGCACTAAACAGAAAATCCAAATACCAGGAGTTATAGGCCCATTTCTTGCAAAGACTGCTCTTAATATTTTTGCTGTTCACAACCCTTATTGATGAGCTTGGCCTTATGCATCTTGGAACAGAACTCTAGTCTATGATATAAGGGTTCCAAATTTCCTCCCTTTTGCCATTCTACCTTTCAGAAGGAACATGCCAAAGCTAGTTAGCAATGCAGTTGGCTATACTATCTACAAAATCATAGAGCTACAAGAGACCTTAGAACGTCATCAAGTCCAGCCCCCTGCTCTAGGCAGGACCAATCCCAACTAAATCAACCCGGCCAGGGCTTTGTCAAGCCGAGACTTAAACACCTCTAGGGATGGAGACTCCACTACTTCCCTAGGGAACCCATTCCAGTGCTTCACTACCCTCCTAGTGAAATAGTTTTTCTAATATCCAACCTTGACCTCTCCTACCACAAGTTGAGACCACTGCTCCTTGTTCTGCCATCTGTCACTACTGAGAACAGCCTCTCTCCATCCTCTTTGGAACCTCCCTTCAGGAAGTTGAAGGCTGCTCTCAAATCCCCCCTCACTCTTCGCTTCTGCAGACTAAACAGACCCAAGTCCCTCAGCCTCTCACCAAAGCCAAATAAAGGGGAATAATGACATCTCTGGATCTGCTGGCAATGCTCCTCTTAATGCATCCTAATATGCCATTAGCCTTCTGGGCTACAAGGGCACACTGTTGACTCCTATCCAGCTTCTCATCCACTGTAACCCCCAGGTCCTTTTCTGCAGAACTACTACTTAACTGGTTGGTCCCCAGCTTGTAACAATGCTTGGGATTGTTCCTTCCCAAGTGCAAGACCTGCACTTGTCCTTGTTGAACCTCATCAGATTTCTTGTGGCCTAATCTTCCATTTTGTCCAGGTCACTCTAGACCCTCTCTCTGCCCTCCAGCGTATCTACTTCTCCCCCTAGCTTAGTGTCATCCGCAAACTTGCTGAGGGTGCAATCCATCCCCTCATCCAGGTCATTAATAAAGATATTGAACAAAACCGGTCCTAGAACCGAACCCTGGGGCACTCCACTAAAAACCAACTGCCATCCTGACATTGAGCCGTTGATTACTACAGTAAACTTCTGATAATCCGGCACCTTTAGGACCCAGGGGGTGCCGGATTATCAGATATGCCGGACTATCAGAAGGGGGGGCTATGAGGGGTCTGGAGTGGGGTGGGAGGGGATGCCACCCCAGACCCCTCATAGCCCCCCCTTAT